CCAGAGCTCCCACATTGGACTCGATGGAAGCCCACTCATCATAAATACTCACAACTGGATATCTAAAAAGATCCGCTTCTCTTCCCCCACGTGGATCTTCCAGATACAGTCTTCACCTTCCACGTAGGGCTCTGGCCAGTTTGGCGACAACACCACTCCAGCCACAGCAGAAAGCTCCCCACCACACATGGCTGTAAAAGAGACAGACTTGATTTGCAAGGAAGCTACCATAGCAGAGCTGCCGTGAAGTCAGATAGCCACGGGTCTCTGTGTGCAGATAGGCACCCTCTCCACGGGCAGTCCACACATGTGTGGAACCATCATGAGAGCTGGCCATCTGCCCCCTCTTTAGCTGAAGGTCGGCAAAAGTCAGGCAAAGCGAGGTGGATAGTTCTTTCAGGACCATGGACAAGGCCCCTAACCCCAGGAATCCTCAATGGCTACACCCTTGGAGAAGGTGAGAAGTGACTAAGAGATGGTACCCAGGTCTAGTGGGCCTGGTTCCAGTCTTGTTGCAGACCCTGACACTACATGTTTAACTTCTTGGAACCTAACCCCCTTCCTCTATAAACGGGGTGAGACCATGAGTGTCCTTGCTTGGTTATTCTGAGGCTTGATTAAGCCCATTGGTGTCAAACATGCAGCCCGCTGCCTGGCACACAGGAGCTCGGTGGCTTAGCTCATGTATTGTGACAGGTTCTGGCCTAGGGATGTGGCCACGGCTGGTCCTGGCCCTTTAAATTCCACTCTGTGTTTATTGCTTTGGAAAGTTCTCAATATGGCAGAGGCCAAAGCACCAATAAATTCCGCTCTGTTAAACCAGCACATTTAATACAAGGATCAATCCTTCACCAAGGCAAGACTGTGATTTCACGCCAACCGCCATCCAGCCGGCGACTGCCAGGAGAAGGGCTCTCCTCATGACTCCACATGCTGCCAGGAGAGTCAGTCTTGGGGTGGCTCTGTGGTGTTGGATAAGAAAAAGTGGGGAGGGCAGGTCCCCAGGAACCAGTATATATGAGGGTTCTATGTAGACCACATTGTCCAGGGGGGCTCTGAGCACAGGTCTCTGGAAACAGAGACCAGAACTCCTTTCCTGTCTCTGCCAATTACTGTTTTTTATGTATGTCACATCCCAGTGTCAGTTTCCTCATCTACAAGTGGGGCTAATAATATTTACTTTCTGGGGTAATAGTGAGAATAAAATCAGCAGATGCATATACAGCCCTTGGCAGAGTGCCTGTAGCATAATTATTGCACAGCCATTAGTAACTATTATTATCATGATTATGAATGATATTCGAGGGTGCCACGTGTGGTTGGGCGGGCTGTGCCCTGCACAAGGTTGCATGGCAGAGGGCATGCATAGGAGCTGAAATCCAGGCGCTGAGCTGCTCCCACGCTGTGCATTGTGGGACCTGTGCCTGGAGGAAGGGATGCCTCGTAAAATGTACCTACTGTGTAATTTCCACCAAGACCAGCAGCAGCCTTGATCCAAAGGATAGTGAGCCCAGGAAAGGGTTCTTCTCCCCCCCACACACACCAAATTGGTATATAAACTGGTGATGCACCTCTAAGCTGGGGCCTCAGTCTTCTCGTCTGCAGGGACTGAGGTCCCTGGGGCCCTCTGGGGAGGAGGCAGTGGCCCACTCACCTCTGCACAGGGGCTCCGTGTCATTCCAGTATGGGTCCCGCATGTTGATGCACTCGATGATGGCCGGGCCCTGCTCCAGAGAGTGGCCCGGGTCGCAGGTGAACTCCACGATGGTCCCGATGTTATAGGTTGGGTCGGATGTGGTGAAGTTCCCGTTCTGAATGTAGGGCTCATAGCAGTGGCCTTTCTCGAAAGCTGGAGTGGGGAATACAAAAGAGGAGCAGATGGGTCAGGGGCCACCCCCTCATGCTGAATCTCAAAGACTGGCCCTTTCTTGCTATTCAGAAAAGCTCTGGGCAGGCTGAAACCAGGGGTGGGCTACAGTGGGAAGATCCTGTTGGGGCGCCTATTACTTTGACATGGTGGGAATAACTAAACAGAAAAAAGTCAGTCTGTCAGTCTGTGACTGGGTCACTCCCACTGTTAGTAGTTCAGGTGTCTACCTTCTAAAACTCAGTCTAAGCACCCCCCCCATACTTCCTCTGCTCCCAAGTAACCAGCCCAAGAGAAGGGGAAGCCTCCCAGGGACCCTCACCCTCAAATCGGATGTTGAAGGCTGAGGCCACTCGGGCCTGGTCAGACGTGAACTCGATGTGGATGGTATTGCCTTCACTCAGCAGGCCCTCGAAGGGGACACTCTCGGTCTGAAGGGAGTCGTACAGAAGCGATGATTTGTTGGTCTGTCCACTGTGGATGGTCATCCTGGCAGTGGGAAAGAGGAGGAGGGACATTCACTGATACGTAGCAGTGGTGACCGCCACCTCTGGGGTTCACTCTTGGATTCAGATTCTGATGTTACCTCTTCCCTTCCCCACCAGCTGCTTCTGCTTCTTGAACCTACTTCCTCTTCTGTAGAATGGAATTAAATGCATGTCTTGGGTTTCCTATGGATTTATTCTGAGGTTGGAGGAAAAGGGATGTGTCTGATGTAATGAGCCAAGCTAGTTCATTCATGTTGGTTACTGCTACTATTATTGAGAAGTTGGGATTAACGGACAGTTTCATTATTGAAACAGCAATATACAAGGGGACTTTTAAAAGTTCATAGAAGGGGCCAGCATGTGGTGTGGAGGTTAAGACACTGGACTCCCATATGGCAGACCATAGTTTGAGTCCCAGACCCCGTGGCTTGAAAGTCAAAACAGATGAATAAATATGTAAATGTTAAAAAAACTTCTTGGAAAAGTGGAATTAAAGTATGTTTTATTTTGGTGCAAAAAGTTTTGAAATCCATGCACAAGTGTCCCCCCCTCCACCCCCCTTAATAAGCATTTTCCATGAACATTTTGAAGACCCCTGTATGGCCAGGCAGACCCAGGTCTGAGTTCAGACTTTGTAACTTCTGAACAGTGACTTTGCACTAGAATATTTCATCTGTCTGAGTCTCTCTTTCCTGATCTATAAATTGGGTCTAATCTCACATCAGAATGTGGGGATTAGAGTACACTGAGTATAAAGTGCCCAGGACAGAGCCAGAATATAAGTCATATTTATTTGACCCCTACCAGGATTTATCTCTGATCCTTATTTCCTCAGACTGAACTCCTGATTTCTAATTCTCAGTTCTCCTATGACTGAGTTCACATGTCTCAAAATCTCGACGGACCTCCGTTTTCCCAACTGTGACAGGAGGGAATGATAACATCTTTCTGATCTGTCTTATAGGTGGACTTTTAAGAGTATGTCAAAAATATAGTATCCTGAAAAATAAAAAAAGGTATTAGACAAAATGTTGGGTCTCCACTTTTATTGTTATTAAAAACCATACTCGACTCCTTGTGTATCCTTATAATTAAAAAAAATATATGTAAAAGTGGGGAAGAAAACGGTACACAAATTAGATAGGTTTCTTTTATAGAGTCATAAACACATATTTAATCCTTTGAGCTTTTTACTGTGACTCATAAAAAGAGCTTATTTTATGTTGCCTCAATGAATTTCTGATGCCACTGAGATGCTTAACTGTTGGAGCCATGGTTTGTTCATTTTGCCAGGTGTCCGGTATGGCTGAGATGATGAAGGGGGGTCTGGAAATGCAGTAAAAGCTACCATGTCCTACCCCCGTCATACACCCTCAGCATTTTCCGCTGGCTTCATACTTAAAGTCTCCAAGAATCAGCTAACTCAACCAGCTCAAAGAGTGGCAGGCTGTATTAGGGGATTAGGTGCCCAGAAGCATTCTTCATCCTTTATCCAATGGTGAGTGGGGTTGGTGGATAAACACCCCACTCTTCCAATAGGACCACAGTGCCATGCGTGCCATGCAGGGGCTGAGGTTCCTA